CCTGGCTGTCCCAGAGGACGACGACGCGCCCTTGTCTCTCAGCCCCCCTCCCCTCGTCCTCCTGGTTATGGGATTCCCAATGCCCGCCCCTGTCCACCCCTGAACCCAATTTCCTCAACCTCAGAAGGTGACTGCATCGGGAGCTGGTCTTTAAAGCCGTCTTTAGGGTGGACCCTAATCCGAGGACTGGGGTCCTGAGGAGATCAGGACCCAGCCGCACAGAGGGAGACCCTGTGGGGACACGGGAGAAGACACACCTACAAGCTCCGGCAGAGGCCTCAGGAGGACCCAGCCCTGCAGACACTCTGGGCTTGGCCCTCAGCCTCCAGAGCCCCTCCGCAGGGCCGGCTCTGCGCAACTCCATTCCCTCCCCAAGATACCTTATTATGTGTATGCAAATATTTCAGAATTCACCGCCCACCCCCACCCCCCCCAAAAAAAACCCTGAAATCCAGAACACTCCTGATCCCAGGCCCTTTGGTAGGGGACATCAACCTGTAGCACACTCTATCTCCCGGGGAAGGTGGGAGCAATAGAGAGATCTGGACCCAGTGTCCCCCCCAGTCACTGCCTGCACCATCCTTCCCAGGACACGCGAGATCTGGGGGTGGGAATTCCATCTTCATCTTTACAAACTTGTGCCAAATGGTTTTCCAAAGGGACTGGTACCAGTCCAGGTCCAAACAGAGATCTAAAGACACACGGGATCCAGGGGGCCAAAGAGAGAGGATTCCAAGGCCCTTCACACCAGCGCCCTTTAGGAACCCTGCGGAGCAGATCACCAGTGGAGGTGAGCACGTGATCAGAATTTGCATCCAAGTCACCTCTGAGAGTCTAGGAATCAAAGCAGAAGCTGCGTGGTCCACATTAGGAAATGTTCTCGTCCACAGTTGGAGAGGTGGGGCTCTGAACATTTCTGTGACAAAGCTGAGTGTGAATAGAAGAACAGGCTTCAACCCACAGGGTGTCCTTCTTGGTTTTGTTTGTCATTAATCAGCCCCTAAAAACGCTGGAACCCTCGGGAAATGGCTCGGTACATCCACCCCGAGTCCTAGTGCAGGCTGGAGTGTTGCTCAAGAATTCCTCGGAGTTTTCATTGTGTTCCATCTGCAGGAAATCTTTTAACCAAAGTGTTCAATAAATGAGTGCCAAGGACTCTGAGCCCTGGAGCCTCGGGGAAGCGGAAGGATTAGGGACACTCGGTGCCAGAAGAGAGGCTACGATCCTCCCCGGAAGCCAAGGTGGAGACAGGAATTAAGTGCGGAGAGCTCCACTGGGGGAAGAGGTCCAGGGTTAAATCCACCGTTGTTTTAGGAATCCGTCAACACACGGGAGGACCTTTTCATGAGAGTCCTAGTTCTAACTGGAAAAATTTATATTTGGAGGGAAGGAAATGAAAAGGGTTTATTACTTTGCAGCATCTAAATTTGATGAAATGTTCAAAAGAATCATGATCTTTTTTAAAGTGTCGGCTCATAGAAATATTCATAGGAGAAAGTCCCCCTGAACAGAGGCCAAAAGACTGGGGACACCTGAGCTGGACCCTTTACACATTTCAGTCGAGAAGAGGAGAATCGAGAATAAATACCTGCATTTAGCCTCGTCCTCCTGAGCTTACCTGGCACCTCTGCCTGAAGAAAGAGAATCTTCTCAGTTAAAACACGGTCTGCAGAGAAGAAGAACCTGAAGACGCCAACAGATCCGAATCCACGTTCACAGAATGCAACTGTAGTGAGACGGAAAGCTACTCCGTCACCAAAGACCGCATTGAAGGAAGAAAATCAACTTCAGAAAATCATCAGGACACCTACAGGTCTACCCCTGCCATAATGTGACGCACTGGACGATACGTAAAGTTCAGGAAACTCACGGTTTTAATTACCTTTAGCCACTTGCCCTGCAAAGCACCCCCAAGCCCCTTATGCCCGATGGGCACCCTTTGCCATTCCCACCAGCAGGGAGGGTCCAGGTCCCCACACTGTCACCAGCATGGCATGATCTTTTAGATGAGGCAGCACTCAGGCTGGGAGTGACACAGGGTCTGGATCTGCGGGTCCTGGATGGCAGTCGATGCCAGTATCTTTCCTGTCTGTCTTCTCTGGAGGAGGCCCATTCAGATCCCTCCCCGGCTCATTGGAAACTTGGGCTGTTCGTCTTTTTTTACGGAGTTGCCAGAGTCCTTGGTATACTCTGGATAGTGGTCCCTCGTCAGATCCACAGGGTACAAATATTCTCTCCCCTCTGTGTGTCCGACGTCCTTCGCCACCTGGACAAGTCATCTGAAACATGAACCTTTCTATGCTGGTGAAATCCGGTTTATCAATCTTTCCTTGTGTCACCTGGACTTCAGCGACACATGGCAGAAACCATCGCTCCATCCCAGGCCACAGGCTCTGCCCCAGATTCCCTCCTGAGCCTGACAGTGCTGCCTGTCCCTCAGGCCCTCGGTCTGTCCCCAGCAGCGCTGTCTGGTGGGAGGTCGGGGTCTCGCTCACACACAGGGCCTCTCGGTGACGTGAGGTTTCAGACACTCTTCCTTGCTTGCTGAATACTGGTGGCCCCCTGGTTGAGGAGGAGGTGACCATGTGTGAGGCTTCGTATTCTTCATCTCTACGGCTTCGAGGGCCGGTTTTGAAGTGGCAACGTGTGGCCCTTCCACCTTGTTCTCCTGAACGATCGTCTTGCCTGTGCGAGTTCCTTTGAATCTCTACATGAATCTTAGATCCAGCACACGCTGCAAGGCAGCCGGGTCTCACAGGGATCGTGTTGAATCTGCAGATAAACTTTTAAAAAACACATCTTTTTGTCGCTGCAGAAGGACAGCAGGCCTTTATTTTGTCTGTTTTTTATGTGATGCTGAGGATGGAACCCAGCGCCTCACACGTGCTCGGCAGCGCTGGCCGGAGCCCCAGTGACCCCAGCCCTGGGGTGAGTCTGAGGAGCGCTGCTGATGCCTGGCCAGGGCCAGCAGAGGTGGCTGTCTGTCTGTCTGCCTGGTCACCCCCGCTGGGCTTCACCTAGGGAGTGGGACTGCGGTGCTGAGCTCTCTCCTGCACCTGCCGCCTGGCGGGCCGCCAGCTTCTTCCATCCAAGTCTGGGACAAGTGAGGCCCAAGAAAACCAGAGCTCCCCGGCCAGCGGCCTTCTCCCCACCTGTGGGAGTCCTGTGGGGTTTCTTGTTAGGCGTGAGCTTTGGGAAGGAACAGGGAAGAGCACATTTCCTCCATCTTCCTGGAAATGTGGGTCAGCCTTATTTTCTTTTAAAAGCCCCCCGAGCCCCTGCCCTCTCCCCACATCCTGTTCTCTTCCCAGACAGTATCAGCCTTTATTTTCACGACGCACCCGAAATATGCTCACCTTAAAGTCCTTTTTTCAGATGTTTCCGTTAATTTCATCTGAAGTTACTAATTCATACTAGGATTTATTGGGGTTTGTCAGCCATTATTCTTTTTTTTTTTTCTCAGACATTCAAAACTTTATTTTTTAAGAATTGCCTTCGAGGGCTGGGGATGTGGCTCAAGCGGTAGCGCGCTCGCCTGGCATGCGTGAGGCCTGGGTTCAATCCTCAGCATCACATACGAACAAAGATGTTGTGTCCGCTGATAACTAAAAAATAGATATTCTCTCTCTAAAAAAAAATAATAAAAATTGCCTTCGTTATAAATTTGAATCTGGGAAGTCTGTTTTTCTCCACAAAAAGAGCACATACACAGGTTCAGCAGAGAACATCATTCTTGAAAGAACATCATTAACAAGGTCAAAGATGATATCCATTGGCATTGATCCATCTTCTAAGGGACAGAGCAATCCTGGGATCACTGAGTGCCACCGATTGTAGGGTTGACAAAAACCAGAATCTGTGGCTTAGTTCCTCTACTTCACACCAAGCAATAAAAATCAGAAATTCCACCAAGGGAAAACGGCTCCTGGAAGAGTCCCCAGATTTTCCACTTGAGACGCTGTTGGGTTCTTGTTTCCCACTGGCCCTTGGAGGGTCTCCCCAGATGGAGATCCACGATTCTGCACCTCTTTTGTGCAAAGGTGAATGAAAACTTTGAGCAGATCAGGATACTGGGTGTAACCTCGGATATTTAAAAACACTGGTTCAGGTGAGACTGGACGTGCACCTATGGGTGTCGGTGTTTCCCAGGCCCCTGGGGGGGGGGTGTAAAGGAATCTGGAGAGGCCTGGCCCTCCGCCTACAGGACAACCAGCCCCTGCACAGAGCTGCCGGGCCTGGGTCTAATTCTGACCAGGGGCCAGAATTCAGGACAGGTTTCAGACATGAGGCCATGACTGACACAAAGGGCAGGAGGCGTCCTCCTCGCTCACCAGAGACGTCACCGCTTCAGGCTACAAACCAGGGACCACGGAGAACAGGAAGTCCTTGCCGGCTGTGCTCTTAAAGAAAACGTCTTCACGGGCTCAGGGCTCTGGTTTCCAGGTGTATCCTGGGGAAAGGCTCCCCCTCCCCTGCCTTCCCCAGCTGCAGCCATTTGGGGTACCTCCCCCACTCCCTGGTCTGCAGTTCAGAAACGTGGTTTTTTAAATCCATGATCAAAGGGCCATGAGATCACGGCCGTGTTCCTCCTTGTCTCAGGGTCATCCCCCCGAAATGACCGAATCGGACTTTCCACGCTACTTTCTGACGTGGGGGTGACTCTTCTCTCCCCTGGCCCCCACTTCAAGCAGAAAGCCTGGCTCTGCTGCTGCCCTGTGTCCTATCGTGCCTGCGACCCTGAGGCTCAGCTGTCGGTGTCTAGAGCACAGTGAAGCCCACTCTGTGAGTCCAGCGTCTTTCCACTGGTTTCTTGGTATAGTCTGCTGCCGGGTGGTCGCAGCAGGGACCCTGTGCTCATGTCAGAACACAAGTCACAGCAACATCTGGATCAAGAGCCAAATGTCCTTCCTCTGTTTTTCTTATTTTAAAAAATAATTTAATTTTGCTATATTTTATGGGCTGCAACCTTCTATCCCATTTGAAATAAAGTGAAATCCAAATCAATGAAATTTTCTTTAATTTCATGTTTTGTTCATTTCTGAGGTGAATAAAATGCACCATACATTCTGTGCCCCTAGGAATTTAAGGTGGATGGTGTCAACACACCTGGAATTCCACACCTGAGCTACAGCAGACCCCCACACCTGAGCACAGCAACCCTGACACCCTGGAGGAGAGACTGATGGGGGACCCACAGGAGAGGCCAGGATTTCTCTGTGTGTTTGGAAGAACGGAGGGGGGGTGGCAGAGAGGACCCGGCCAGTTTCTGCTTTTGAAGTCCCTGACCACAGTCACGGCTGTGCAGCTCCTGTCCACTCATACGGAAGATCTCACCAAGTTGTTTCTTCTTCTGCTTTGTGCCCTAGAGGTTTTCATCTGGTCACACTGCCACAGAGCACCCTCTCCAAGTGCCGACACCCCCACACCCCATTCCCACCTCAGAGTGAAAGCCAGAGGTCTGAATGAGTCCAGTCCAGTGCCAGGTCCAGTCCCCTTTCAGGCTGTGCCCTGGAAACACGGCTAGGGGGGTCCTTTCTCTCCAGCCAGGCCCGAGCTTGGAATTCCCACCAGGCGCAGCTCAGCAAGGTCAAGCTGGGAAGGCATCTGGGTCTCCAGTCACCACACTGGTACCCTTTGGTCCACTTTCACTCTTTGGCATTTGCCCCAGGGAACCTGGCAGAGAAAGACGTTGGGATTTATGTGCAAGTGTGGTTTATAAAATTCCAGTGTGGAAAATAAGACACGGACCTACCCACGGGGGCATGGGCGGATAAATGGTGGTACAGGATTTCCAGACACTAGTCAGAAACTGAAAATCATGCTTCCCAACTATCCTTAGTGGGAAACCCCCCAAAATCCAATGTGTTATTAAGGTCACAAAACGGTTCATAAGGAACAAATATTAGTGCTTTGTAATAGGATATATCATAGAAAAAGGACGGGATGGAACTACAGAAATATTACTATTCCCTGGGGGAAAAAAGGTTAGATTTCTCTGACTTTTCAAGATTTGCTACAAAGAACATGTTCTACTGATTTTTATATGCAAGTACAATAACAAAAGTCAACTTCATTTTTAAAATAACCGCGACCCCTATAAAAAGACCTTTGTAAGCACGAAGGGAACCTGCAGCACCTTCCTCGGTAAAGGTCGAACAGCAGCCACGGTTGCCGCTGATTGGCTGCCGCGGAGGGTCAAGGCCGGTCTTCAAGGAGGCGGGGCTTCGGCCCACTTCCGGGGCGGGGCCTCGGCCGCAGCCGCGCGCTCCGGAGCCGGGCAGTCTCCATGACAACCGGCAGGGCCCGAGCGCGGCCTCAGCGACGCCGCCACAGCCGCCGCGCGGACCCCGCCCGCACAAAGGCCGCGCGGTGACCGCCCTCCGCTGTCGCCCCGCCCCGCCCGGCCGGCGTCTGCACCTGCCGGAGGCCGCGCGCCGCCCGCGCCCCGAGCTGACCGGGAAGCAGTTGTGAGCGGCGCCGCAGTGACTCATCCGCCTGGTCGCGTCCCGGAGCGGGCCATCTTGGTGGCGGTCGGCGCGGCGGACCCAGCCTCGGAGATCTCAGGTACGCACCCCACCCGGCCCGGCGCCCGCGGCCGCAGGTGCACCCTTTGTTCTCCCCCAGGTGGGCGCGGGGCTCCTCCCGGCCGCGCGCCCCCGCGCCCCCGCGCCCCCGCGCGCAGCCGGAGCCGTGAAACACCCTCCGCTTGTCCCCTAGGGCCGGGAGCCAGCCCGCCTCGCCCAGCCGTGGCCCCTCGAGGTCTGCAGCGAGGAGCCGCGTCCAGAGCCGCTGGACCCTGCCGCCTGCCTGGGCTGGCCAGCCCGCCCCGCGTCCCTGCGCCTGCGCTCGAGTCCCGAGGCCAGATCCGGGTTTCCGCCGCCTCTGCGCTCACCCGTGGGCCTCTGCCTGCGGCTGACCTCGGCCAGCATGGTCCAGCCGCAGACCTCCAAAGCTGAAAGCACGGCCTCGGCAGCTTCTGCAAACGCCCAGATGGATGACGTGATCGACACCCTGACCTCCCTGCGCCTCACCAACTCTGCGCTGAGGCGGGAGGCCTCCACGCTGCGGGCGGAGAAGGCCAACCTCACCAACATGCTGGAGAGCGTGATGGCCGAGCTGACCTTGCTGCGCACCAGGGCGCGCATCCCCGGGGCTCTGCAGATCACCCCGCCCATCTCTGCGATCAGCTCCAACGGGACCCGACCCATGACCACACCTCCAACTTCTCTGCCAGAGCCCTTTTCTGGAGACCCAGGCCAGTTGGCGGGGTTCCTGATGCAGATGGACAGATTCATGATCTTCCAGGCCTCCCGCTTTCCGGGTGAGGCCGAGCGAGTGGCCTTCCTTGTGTCCCGACTGACAGGGGAGGCGGAGAAGTGGGCCATTCCCCACATGCAGCCAGACAGCCCCTTGCGAAACAACTATCAGGGCTTCCTGGCCGAGTTGCGGAGAACCTACAAGTCCCCGCTGAGGCATGCGCGGCGCGCCCAAATCAGGAAGACTTCCGCCTCCAACAGGGCCGTGCGCGAGCGCCAGATGCTGTGCCGACAACTGGCCGCAGCGGGAACCGGGCCCTGCCCTGTGCATCCGGCCTCCAACGGGACCAGTCCAGCGCCAGCCCTGCCCACCCGAGCCCGGAACCTTTAGGGATCCGACACCCCCCTGGTAGCATCTGCAGTCACCAGGTAGCAGAGGCTCTATGCTGCGGAGAAGAAATGTGCATACAACCGTATCGCCCCACTTGAAGACATCCCTCCCTGCCTCGCCGTCCATTGGAGGTCTTCCTTCCATCCTTCTTGGTGGTCACCCCTGTTGTGCTTCCTGTCATGGGTAGCTCTGCCTGCTGCCCACTGCATGCTTCCCTCTTGCTTGCAGCCCTCTACTCCAGTGGTCACAACCCTGCTTTCCCCGCACACTGACCCCACAGCGCCCAGGGACTATTTGGGCTGACCCTCTCAGCCCTGCTGTTTGTGGATGCTCCTACTGTACCCCTCTCTCCAGGTGCCCTCTGCAGCCCCCCTGCCGGCTGCCCTGCCCTTGGCAGTGAGCTCTGGATGGAAAGAAACAAGTTTGGCCAAGCTGGTGGCCTCTGTGTACCTGGAGAGGGTCTGGCTGCCTGCCCACCACGGATCACCAGCCTTGCCAGGACCAGTATAGCCAGCAGGGCCTTGTTGGTGGCCAAGTGAGCACTCTGCTGGGGGCAGCCCTCGCCATGCAGGTGGACACAGTCTGGCGTGCGTGCCTCATTGCTCCTCCGAGAAGGATGACCCTGCAGCTGAAGGGGAAGCTTCCAGAAGATGCCCTCCAGTGTCTGATGGCACAGGAATGGGGAATCTGCACTTGCCCACTGAGGAAGGCCACAGTAGATCTGGGACCCTGGGCAGTGTCATCAGGCTGCTGTGGCACTGCGGGCAGGCGGAGGGGCACACTGGTGACTCTGCTTGCTGTCCTGGGTCTCCAGGGGGGCGCTCACAAGCTGCTGGTGTTCAGTCACCCCTCTCCCCTCGTCACTTCATGGTGGGCCTTGCCTCGGTTGAAGCCCACTCCCTTCTCCACTCAGGTGCCACATGGCCTTCACCTCAGCCTTTCAGCCATCCACGCATCTCCAGGTCTCCAGAGATGCCACGTGGCGTGCCCTCCCCACGTCTGGGCCATTTGTCCAAGAACAGATAGACTCCCTCTTAATGAGACCCCACTCCTCTGGGAAGCATCATTAAGCACTCAGACCCGGTGTCCTGCCCCTGGTCACCCCAGCCAGGGTCTGGGTGGCATGGTAAAGGTGAAGAGCTGCGGACTGCCTTGACCTGATCAGTGACGATGCAGGGCGTGGCATGCATGTCCTGATGGTGAGGGACAGAACTGCCCTGGCTCTGGGTGGATAGCCTTGGTCTCCTCTCTGAGGTACAACCAAGAAATCACACCCTCAGGGAGGCTCGGTCAGGCCCTTCAGACTGTGGTGCTCCCCCCGCATTTCAGTGCCAAGCCCGCTGCATTTACAGGACACCCGACCACGGCGGGGATGGGGCACCTTCCCCTGTGTTAACCTGCTACGTGAGTGGTCCTGGCCTGACCACAGGAGGACCACATCTGCACACACTCCAGATGCCTCTGTCTTGGGATCCCAGAGGTTGGGTTCTGGGGCCCATCCCCTCTTCTGGAGAGTTTTGATGATGACCCTGATTCCAAGCAGCCACTGCCGTGTAAGGCCAGGATCTGCAGGCTGCTGGGGTCCACAGACAGGCAGCCGCTCGTGATGGGCTCTGTTAGCCCAGCCACCCTGCTAAATAGCCGCCGGATTCAGGCTTCCGGCTCCCCTGGGGCAGCCCAGGCTGCCCAGTGGGACCATGGTGCTCAGTGTGAGGGAGGACCCCAGCACTCCAGGGCCTGCCCCTGCGCAGCTTCCCAACGCTGTCTCCACGCACAGCGCCCTCCCTCTCTAGCAGCGGTCTGGGTGAGAATGGCTCCTGCCAGGTAGAGGTGTCTCTAGGTGGCGGGTACAGTGGCATCTGGGGAGTAGGGGCTGTGGGGGGACAAGACACCTGGAAGGCTTCTCCAGGCCCAGCCCAGCCAGGGAGGAGACCAGACGTGGAAACACGTGTCTGTCGTGTCACAGCCCTGGCTCTGCCTGGTGGCTCTGTGAGGGGGACCATCTGTGTTAGGCGTGGAGATTCAGAGTTGGGCTCTGCACACTCAGGACCAGAGCCCTGCGGGCCAGGCTGGCCGCCTCCCTGTCCATGGCCGCTGGCGGGCCTGCGGCTCGCTGCTGCTCTGGGTGCATTTGGTGACTTGGTGGTGTCCTTCTCTTGGTGCTTATGTTGGGGGTGGGGCTGCCATTGTGTATCCTTGGCCCTCTCGATAGCTCCCTGCCCCTCGGAACCTGGAGCAGATGAGAGAGGGCCCAGGCCCCCCTCTGCCCTGGACTTGGAAGAAGCCCACACTGTCGGTGCTGAGGGACCGCTGTGGCTCTAGTGTAGGACATCTTAGTCCCTAGCCCAAAAGGCTAAGACCCAAGCCCCACGCAGCCCCCGAAGGAGACCATAGTGATGGGGCGGGTGTGGCTCTGAGGACGGTGGGGAAGGAGGTGCTTTGTACAGTACATACTTTGGGATTATTTCTCTTAATTTTAAGAAAACAAATAACAATTTACACAGGGTCAGGAGTAGAGTTGACAGTGCATGTGAGGGAGTTCTGTTTCTCGTGTTGTTGACACTTTGGGACATGTTGTGGCTGCTGTCTGGGCTGCGTGTTGCCCATCTGGAGAGTAGGCTTCGCTGCGTTCCAGGCACGGAGGTGAGGTTTGCTACAGAGCGGCTCCTGGCCAGTGTGTGGTGTGACCTTGGGATTAACTTTGTGTCCTGAAGCGTTTTGGTGACTTCTAGGAGCCAGCCTTGGCCCCAAGCGAGTATCTGTTGAGGTGTGGAGAACCCATGTGACGGTGTGGCAGGCCCACCCGACAGGAGCCCGTGGCCGGGGAGAACGGCCCCACTGCATGAGCGTCACCTGGGCACTCGGCCTGCAGGAGAGGAGGGGCTGCGGGGACACAGGCCAGGCTGGGTCAGCTCAGGGAGTGTCCCGGGGCTGGACAGAAGGGGTACACTGGGGCAGGATGCTGGGTGACGGGGGAGATCCTCACAGAGGTCCCCGTGAGGTCCCCTCTTATGGCCTGAGCCATGACTCTTGCCCTTTTCTTGGGAAGCAGTTGCTTAGGGGCTTGGAGAGGAGGTGGGAGATGGCTGCTGGGCCAGCAGGACCGAGTCCCCCCGTGGTCAGGGCAGGTTGACCCTAGTCCGTGGCAAGTATGCTTGGAATTGAGAGCTCGGGGCAGCTTGGCAGCACTCGTGGGAGTCAGGGGCAGTGTCTCATCTCTCGGGTCCCTGTAGGATATGGCGGGGCTGGCCCTGCACAGGAGCGTTAGTGGAGGGGAGGAGACCCAGCTGCTCCACAGTGTCACTAACTTGGCAAGCCAGGGACACCGTGACCATGTCCTCCGTTCTCCGAGCAGACCTGCACAGGAAGGAGATTTTGGAGAGTCAGGTGGAGGGAGACGTACCGGGTGACACCTGGTGTCCCTCCAGCCTACCCACACTGCCCTGCGTAGTTTCTTTGTGTTTTCTTCCTTGTGACATCATTCCACGTGGCTATTGTCACCAACACGTCACGGCGTTTC